AAAGTCCCCAAATCTCTTATAGAATAAAATTTTTGGTATGTAATACGTTAAAATATGAATGAAAAATTTAAATGACACCTTAAGTTATTTAATCCTATGAATTCAGACTAGGGTCATTTAAAATTACTTTTTTTTTTTTTGCACTTGTCATCTTTCTTTTATTATCAATACCCATTTGTTGGTTTTCTTTTAGTTTTGCAATATTTGCATTACTTTATGAGATTCACTCATGAATATAGTATAATTCAAACACAAGAATAGTGTTTAAATGTGTTGATTTACTAGTAAATGAATCTCTTTCATATACCAACTTCACAGCAAAAAAAAAAAAAAAAAAGATTTCACATTTAGACCATCATGTTAGGAGACTTCAAGATTTTGAGTAAACAGTCAGAACTAACAGTGTTCTATTTGTGAATGCCAAGGACCTATTGCATAATGAACAATGTGAATAGTAAAACTTTGGTGGGCAAACAGGTGAAGGAGGGGTTTGAACGTTGCTGCTCAAATCTCTCTCTATTTAAGAAAAGTTGTTCTGCATCAGAATATATACTCTTTTAGAGGATAGTATCTTTGTGTTTACTCAATGTTAACAATCTCTATTTGTAAAATATAATTATTTTCTTGAAGATATTGTGAAATCTGTGATCTGCATCCTATGGATGCTTAATGTATACACATTAAGAAAAATTTAATAGTCGTAATAGGAGAACACATATTGGAGAATGAGATTAGTAAGAATTTAGGAAAATAACAGTAAAGTCTTATTCTTTTATCTTCTATTACAGACCATCTCCAATTTTTTATCTTTTCACCTTCTCTCTTCACCCTCATTTTACTCTTTCACACCCTGTACTCCTCCACCACATTCTTTATAAATGCTCATTTGACTATTTTAATCTCGACATGAATAGAGGAAATAACTATCCACAGTCATATAAGTACCAAGACAGTAAAAGACTAAAAAAGAAAATTTCCTTTCTAACTAAAACTGACTATTGTGTGGGTCATTAGAAAACTCAGGACTTTTTCTTAAGTTCTTCATTTTATTAGACTATATTGTATTATTACACCATTGTTCTCCTGAATCAGGAGTAAAAAAAAATGATTTTTTAATTGAAAATTAGCATATAAAATGATGATAAAGACCTTAGCAATAAATCTACAATTAGTTCAGAAAATCAGAGTCTAGATGAATGAACTTTTGATGTTTAATTACCAAAGAAAGAATTGCAAAAACATATGCAAAGGATGTATGAAAAGGTTCAGTGACAGCACAAGGATAAAGTGTCCCAAAGTTGACAAAGAGGTGCCAAGCAAACTTCTTATAGGAAAAATATTTTAAAATTATCATGTAAAGAAAGTAGGGGTTTCCTAGGGAGAAAATTCTCAAGATCATTGCCAGCAGACTGAAAAGTATATGTGAGGTTACCAAGTGTTGTACGATTGAGAAATTATAGTAGTCTGGAAGCACTGAAAGGATAGGTGTGAGATGGAAAAGAATAAGCATTTGAGTTGAGGACAGGAATTGGGGAAGAAGTGAGGGAGGACCACAACCAGATTTAGGGGAAATTGTGATTTATGCCAAAAAAAAGTTTAGCCTTGATGCTTTATGTTACTTCTCTAAAGTTTTTGAATACTTGCAAATTAGATAATAATATCTTCAAATACATAATTTAGAGTAACACTCAAGGCAATATAAATGTTATCTAAGAAATTATTTAGAAGGCTTTTCAATTGACTAGAAGAAGACATTTGTTAAGAACAGGGCCAGAAACGGTGGCAGGGAGAATGGAGAGGGGTGAATGGATTCAGGAACACTTTCAAAGATAAACTCTTAGAAAATTTAGGATGATGAGGAGGATGAAGGAGAAATAGATATTAAGAATAAATCCCAGGTTTCTCCCTAAGTCAATCAGATGAATGGTGGTGCTATTAACTGATGTAGAAAGATAGGGATATTTAAGAATCACTGAGTTTCAGGAATCTGGAGGCAATCCAGGTGGAAATGTTTATCAGAAAGTAGGTTATAAAGTTCTGGAACTGAGAAGCAAATCTGGACTGGATGTATGAGATAGATGCAGGGATCTGAGGTATAAGCTTACAAAACAAAGGGAGAAAATTACATGGTAGCAAAACCCAGACAATTATTTGCTTAATAAAAAAAAAAAAAATCTTATATGTATACTGGTTTCTTAATTTTTAAAAAATTTTTTAAAAAATTTAGGTGAGGTCTAAATTAGGGTAATTTAGGTTTGGTCACAGAGCTAGATCTGTGCCTGTAAGAGTAGAACAATAGTATAACTTCAGACAAATAAATTAGAATAATACGTATTTTTCAGAAGATAGAGATGCCGCAATACTCTGAAGTATTGAATCTGTAAAACTTCTAATACTGAATAGTGTCTAAGATCAAGTAAGAAAATATACTAATGTTTTTTGCTCTTTCAAGTTATAGTTTTCAAAATTATATTTTCATTGTACTAACCTCTAATATAGAGTAATAATGTCAAGAATCTTTTTGTATAACTCATGGCTTTTATGGTACTTAATGCTATTGCATAATTAATGACAGATTTTAAAGTGTTTGCCTAAAGTCTATTAATTAATACTAAAATAAAGTTGTTACTTTAAAAACAAGTTGAGAGTTTGGTGTGTTTAAATTAAATTACAAATATTTTCATATCTCTGTTGAGATAATAATGGATAATTATGCTTGGAAGTGCATATCTCTAAAATTCTGGAAAGAAAACTTTAAGAGTTAAAACTTTTTTACACTTGATTAAAATTTTTGTTATGCTTTTAAGTATAACATATATGCACTTATGTTTAAGTATAAATGTATATATATTAAGTATAAGTATTAAGGTAGCATGTTGATTTTTAAAACAATTAGTTGGCAATCCAAAGAATCTTAAAAAATTAAATGTAAATGGGGAGAAAAAGATATTCAGTAATATATTAAGTATAAGTATTAAGGTAGCATGTTGATTTTAAAATAATTAGCTGGCAATCCAAAGAATCTTAAAAAATTGAATGTAAATGGGGAGAAAAAGATATTCAGGAATATATTTTTTATTATTATTAGTTTCAAGTATATAGTACATTGATTAGATGTTTATGTAGTTTATAAAACAATCCCCCTATATCAGTGATCATTTTAAATTTAAATGGGTTAAATGTTCCAATTAAAATACATATAGGGTAGCTGAATAGATAAGAATATACTATTTTTGTAGGTTAAATATACTATACTTCATTTGACTTAAAAGATGTTTATTTGAAAATGCGAATGCTAAATTGATTTAAATATGGTATCTATGGACATGTATTCCCAGAACAGTAATTTAATATTTATGAACAATTTGCTATTAAAGGTTTATTGATTGATTCTTTTATTTACTTGGAGTTCTGCTTTTGGTTTGCTCTAAAACACCCAACATGCATTTCAGGCCTACCACCCTTGAGATACCATATCATCTAATGTGCATTTTAACTATTAAAATAACCTTATTTTGTTTGTTTTTATCTTTTTGGAAATCATTAAACAATTTTCTGAGAATTAAAAAAAGAATTCATTGAGAAAATGATAATGGCAGAAAGGGAGCCCACGGAAGATTAAAGAAGAAAAGTAACATGGGGACTTCATGCTCCT